CATCTTACCCCAGAAAACAGAAGACATGAAATGCCGCCCAGGGTGTGGAGAGACTGCCAACCGCACACGCTGCTGATGGACTGTGAGCATGGCTGCTGATGGACTGTGAGCATGGCGCGAACACTGCAGAACGCGGTCCGGGACTTCCTCAAAAAGTTGGGAATGGAAAGAGCATATGATCCAGTTATCGTCCTTCTCGGTATGCATCCTCGAGAAATAAGAGCCATGCTATGAGGAGATATATGCGCACCCATGTTCCCTACAGCACTGCTTAGAATAGCAAAAAGATGGAAACCATCTAAATGCCATCAATGGATAAATATACCATCAGCATCAGTGTCTACTGGCACATGTCCGCAATGGTACAGCCTGAAAAGTTAAAGATTAACAAGGAGTCCAGGAACACCTCATAAAATCATAACACGGGCTTACCTGGAGGGCATTATGCTGAATGAGATCGTTCTAAAATAAATGAACGACCCGCTGCCTTTGAGTCAATTCCAACACATAGCAGCCTTTCGGCGACGAGGTCTGTCACCTAGTATGTTTCAAGACTGTAACTCTACATGGGAGTAGAAAGCCTCATCTCTCTACCACAGGGTAGCTGGAGGTTTCCAACTGCTAATGGAACCCCACACACCACCAGGATTTCCGTACTGTAAGAAGGAGGTCGGCAAAATGATGGAGGCAGAGGAAGATAGCAGGAGGTTTGCAAAAGTTCAAGGCAACAGAGGCAAATATTGTGATCTACATAATGCTATAATAGTGGCTCTCTGTGAGTAGATGCTTAGGTGAGCACACAGGCTGAATGGGTGTGGGGGAGAGAGTGGGAGTATATTGATGAATATTTGTAGTTTTGACTGAGGATATTTGTATCTGTGTGTTTATCTTTGGTACAAGTATAACCACGAATGTGTGGAGCGCATGGGGGAGGGGAGGATATGAAAACTTCTTAGAGATAACCAAACACCATGATCAGGACCACAGTCTCAGGGGACACCAAGGTCAATTGGCATAAGATAGTTTACAAAGACAGTGTTCCACACCCTACCTTGTGAGTAGCATATGGGGTCTTTCAAACTCATGAACAGCCTCTCCATGTCTGGAGAAAAGAAGTGAAGAAAATTAAAATGGCTTGGGAGCAATTAATCAGTAGATTAATAGACCATTTGAACCCTCATGGTGGTTATATAATTTCATGTCAACTTGATAAGTGTAGGAGTGGAGTCTAGCCTGTCAATCAGGTCACAGCCTGATGATGCCTCCTTGTAGGCGTGGCCTTCTCATGGGGATTCTGGGAACTTCCTCTCTCTCTGCCTTCGTCTTCCTGTTGAAGAACCACACTCGGAGAGTTGGAGGAGCCAGGTGGAGACCCACGCCAGCATTGAGATGCTTCCACCGCCACTGGATCCACAAGACTTTGCACCTACCAGCCTGCGATCTTCCAGCATTTTCCATCATTGTGTGTGCTGTGTGCGTCTGAAGAGAGATTTATGACTAGCGCTGGACTTATGGCTAATATCAGACTTATGGACTTAATCTGGACTGGGCTCTGATGCATTCTTAATATATAATTACTCTTTGATATAAAGCTCTCCCCCACCCCCGCCACCAGGTGTTTATTCTGCATCAGAAAAGCTCTTTCTTATCCATATATGAGTGTCCCTGGATTTGTTTTTCTAGTCAAGCCGGGTTAACACAGCCCTAAAACCAAAAGAACCAGATAG